TGAGGGAGTTTTCAAGGAGACTTTCCATGACACAAGGTTTTGGTTTCAAATGCTACCTCTAGAGCCTACACTCTGCACAAGACGGCCTTCCACCGTATGTCCTTTTTAACACCAGTTCTTGATTTGTTTTAGTCAAGCTCTGACTCATGAATCCCTCCAGAAGAGATTTCTATTTCCTAAGACCCTTCAACAGGAGCAACAATGTGCTTACTCATTCAGGATAGTCATAAAAACATTCAGAAGGGCCAAGATTAGGCCAGGTACTGTGGCTCACACCTGTAATCCTGGCATTTTGGGAGGCCGAGGCAGGAGGATTATTTGAGGTCAGGAGTTCAAGACCAGCCTGGCCAACACAGTGAAACCCTGTCCTTACCAAAACATACACAAAAATTAGCTGAGCATAGTGGCATGCACCCCTAGTCCCAGCTACTCAGGAGGCTGAGGCAGGAGAATCACCTGAACCCAGGACGTGGGGTTGCAGTGAGTTGAGGTAGTCCGTGGGACCCGCCTGGGTGACAGAGTGAGACTCTGTATCCAAAAAAAAAAAAAAAAAAAAAAAGACCAAAATTATTATACAATCGAAACATTTAACTGTGTTGTGTTTTCCAGGATTGTCTCACCTAACACAGAGGGACATTTTAGGAGATTCAGATGAAAACTCATGCACCCTTTCGCTCTGAGTTTTCAATTTAGGAGCCGCAGGGTTTGAGGCACTGATCAACACAGCAGTTGGCTGAAGATTCGTTTTACAAATGAGGATCTTGGGGGGAATGTTGAGCTGCGTCACAGTGAACTTAAAGGCTAAATCAAAACCTGCTGGAAAACACTTTTCGTGGCATTAAAAGTATTTAGTGATTAATAGAAAGCAGGATGCTGTAAACGCCGCAGACACTAAAATCAGCTTATCTCAATAGCTGCTGCAGCTGCAAGTTGCCCCTGAAACATGCATTCTTCCTTTTTTTGGTCATAGGTCTCAGATTTTCAATCAAGCACATGGCTGCCTGGAATACCCTGAATTCCCAAGATTCCTTTGCAGCTAGGTGTGGCCATGGGATGTAAGTGGAGGTGGACATTGTCCTGAAAGGATGGAAAGATGTCTCGTTCCTGCCTTCCATTTTCCTTCAGCCATGAATTCAGGCATGATGCTGGAGCATGGGTAGCCACCTTGCAGCACGAGGTAGAGACAGCCACATACCAAGGACAGAAGAACAGGATGGAAGGAGAATGGATCTTAGCCCTATACCTGCTCGGTGAATCTCCTGAAAGAAAGAAAATATGCATCTCTTGCTTAAGCCACTGTTTATTATGGATCTTCCATCTGTTGTAACCAAATGTCATCCTGATACCGTCCCACTCCATAACAATGTCCAGGCTCACAACTTCTCCCTAGATTTGTCAACTCAGTCCCTCTTCCTGACTCAAGGGTCTAAAATGTTTAAAGAACTAACAAGATGTAAATACATTGAAAACCAAAATTGCAAATGTTGCAAAAGATGCAGGATTTGCTGAAATTGGTGAAATGAAGGTTGGAGAATTACGGGGTCCACAGGCCACGTGAGGCTCTGGCAGTGCTGGAAACCGGGTAACCAGTGAAGAAGAGCCCAGCAGGAGGAGGGACAGGCCTTACAGAAGAAAACTTCAATTTCACAAGAAGAAAGAATCTCTGGACGGGGGGCGGGGGCGGGGTGGAGGGTATTGATGAGGTCCTGGTACATTGTTTCTTATTTGCATGAAATATCTCTTGGCCTGGCTGGGCACGATGGCTCATGCCTATAATCCCAGCACTCCGGGAGGCAAAGGGGAACGTATCACTTGAGGCCAGGAGTTCAAGATCAGCCTGGCCAACATGACAAAACCCTATCTTTACTAAAAATACAAAAATTAGCCAAGCATGGTGGTGCTTGCCTGCAGTCCCAGCTACTTTGGAGGCTGAGGCATAAGAATCGCTTGAAACTGGAAACTGGAGTTTGCAGTGAGCTGAGATCACATGACTGCATGCCAGCCTGGGTCACAGGGTAAGACTCTGTCCGAAAAAAAGAAAAAGAAAAGAAAAGAAAAGAGAAATATATCTTGGCCTTATAACTCCTTTTCTTTTCTCTCTCTTTTTTTTTTTTAATAGAGACGGGGTCTGGCTCTGTCACCCAGGCTGGAGTGTACTGGGGCCATCATAGCTCACTGCAGCCTCAAACTCCTGGCTTGAAGCAATCCTTCTGCCTCAGCCTCTGGAGTGGCTGGGACTACAGGCACGCGCCACCATGCCTGGCTAATTTTGTGTTATTTTTTGTAGAGACGGGGTTCATTCTGCTGCTCAGGCTGGTCTCAAACTCCTGGGCTGAAGTGATCCTCCCACCTTGACCTCCCAAAGCACTGGGATTACAGGTGTGAGCTCCCATGTACTCAGTTTCTATGATGCCTACATGAATAAATTTTGTTCAACATAAGACAGATTTAACCTATTTTCGTAATTTGGGGGTTCATTTTTCAGTACAAGGTCACAATCCAACCTTTTCTTAGATTGTCCTTGTTTTACACGAAATTCTGGTCCCTATTCAAATGGATGTCAGCTTCCGCTGTACACCGGGTCACTCAGGAGCTTCGGGCCTGGGTCTCCCCTGAGAGTCTGATGCCTTTGGTCAGGGATGCCGCCTGAGCATCCAGATGTTTAAAGACAAGGCTGGGAGCCGCTGTTTCAAGCGGCCCTTCCAGGAGCGGCTGATCTCAGGTAGGGAGGTCTTTGCTTATACCATTCCCTCATCAGCTCCTACCACTGACAGACCCTTTAAAATGACATTAGAATCAGAGAGGGGAAGTGAGGGTGGAGGCTGGGAAGATGCAAGGAAACAAAGGAGAGAGGGAGGGAGGGGAGGAAGGAGAAGACACACGTGTCTTCACCAGAAAATGGATAAGAAGAGCCAGCTCTCCCATCTCATAAGAATCTCCAGATAAACAGTAAAGAAGGCAAGTTCCACCACCAGGAACCCTTCAAGGGAAGAGGTCCTGTAGCTCCACGCAGAGTACAACCGCAGAGGCCAAAAGAGGAAGGCAACCAGCACGCGTCACCAACACATCAAACCCTGATAGAACTCCATCCTTAACTGCACACGGGGAGTGCGGTCTCTCCAGATCTGCAGGGCTGGCCAGGAGGCTGATGGGGCCCACGCAATCCCACTGACAGGGGGGAGCCTACGCAGGCTGGTTTTCCAAACTTTAAGATGCTCGATGAACCTTTCAAGGTGGAAAAGGTACTCGGTCTTACTGCCTTGCTGTGCGAGTGTAGGAAGGGGCTGAAGAGTGGAATTTAAGGAGAAGTCGTAAGCCTCAACTCCTCACTCGGACCTGTGGCCAAGGCTCAGCAATGCCTCTCTGCCACACAGCACTGAGTTATTAGCTACATACATATTGCATATATTAGCTATACATACATACGTGTGTATATGTACATACACGTATGTATATATATGTGCATACACGCATGTGTATATATGTGCATATATATAGTGTTTTGTTTTAGGCAGTCCCACTCTCGCCCAGGCTGAAGTGGCACAATCTCAGCTCTCTGCAACCTCTACCTCCCCAGTTCAAGCACTTCTCCGGCCTCAGCCTCCCGAGTGGCTGGGATTACAGGCATGTGCCACCATGCCTGGCTAATTTTCGTGTTTTTAGCAGAGACAGAGTTTCACCATGTTGGCCAGGCTGGTCTTGTACTCCTGGCCTCATGTGATGTGCCTGCCTCAGCCTCCCAAAGTATTGGGAGTACAAGCGTGAGCCACCACCACCTTGCTTAGTGCTATTTTTATTAAAAGTATTTCCCTCAATATATAAAGGGTATAGTATCTCAGTTTTATCTTGAAATGTATTTTTGAGTCATTTAAACCTGTACATCAGCAAACTAAAAACTACACACGAAATGTTTGAACATTTTACCCAAAGGAAGAGTAATCATTATATCCAAAAGACACCTGTGCTCATATGTTTATGGCAGTACTATTCACAATAGCAAAGATATGGACTCGACCTAAGTGTCCATCCATGGAGCACTCGATAAAGAAAATGTGGGATCTATAACACAAGGAATACTACTCAGCCATGAAAAGGAATGAAATCACGTCTTATGCAGCAACATGGATGGAACTGGAGATCATTATCTTCAGTGAAACAAGTTACGAACAGGAAGACAAATACTGCAACTTTTCACTTATAAGTGGGAGCTAATAATGTCTACTCATGGAAGCAGAGTGTGCCATGCCGGGCCTTAGCAGGGTGGGAGGGAGGGGGGAGGATGGAGGCTGCTAGGGGGGCACGATGTGCATGGCCCAGTGACAGATGCCTGGAAGGGCCTGACTTCACCACTACACAAAATATCAATGGAGCACAACTGCACGTGTGCCCCATGAATATGTACAAATAAAAATAAATACGTGTTTAGGTTGGGCGTGGTGGCTCATACCTGTAATCCCAGCACTTCAGGAGGCTGAGGGGGGTGGATCACTTGAGGTCAGGAGTTCAAGACCAGCCTGGCCAACATCGTGAAAACCCATCTCTACTAAAACTACAAATAAGAATAAAAACACTACATACAAATAAAAATAAATAAATGTTTAGGCCAGGTATGGTGGCGGGTGCCTGTAATCCCAGCTACTCGGAGGCTGAGGCAGGAGAATCACTCGATCTCGGGAAGCAGAGGTTGCAGTGAGTGGAGCTCACGCCACTGCACTCCAGCTTGGGTGACAGAGCAAGAGTCTGCCTCAAAAATAATAATAAAAATAAATAAATGTTTAAACATAAAGTGAACCGAGCGTGAAACTGACACCATCTAGAACACTCTCGGAAAAGCCGTGGTCTTACGTCTACACTTGACTATTCACAAAGTGGCTGCATTCTAACCCCCTAGTAACTACATGCTTAACTGTCTGTACTTCCTTTGAAGGCCCAGGCCTGGTGGGGTGGGGGGGTTCCACTCCTTGCCCAGCACAGCTCACCGTGGGAAGAAATGGAGACTATTTTCACATGGCTGGTGGTGACACTTTTTATTAATTTTAAAACGTGCCCTTCTCCCTAGGGCATGGGGCACGTGCACATTCTCCTACAAAGACGTGGTGGTGCGGAGGTACCGTGGCAGTCAGGCAGCGACTGGGTCACTCAAGGAGGAAGAGACTCGAGCTTCCGGACAATCAGCGCTTTGTAAACAGCAGCATCATTAGCTCTAAGACAACACCGGCCCTGCAGGGCCTTTTCTGTGGGTGGCGTCAATTATTCCAGATTCAGACCAGGCTGTCCTCTCCGGACCCAGGCTCTGCCGCTCCCTCCTCTGTCCCCATAGCTAGTCATGAACGCCGTAACCCTTGGGCCCCTCAGAGGAAAAAAAGGTTGGGGAGGAGGGGCGATGGGAGGTATTGTTGAGCCGCTGTCCCACCACCGGGAGCCTGCTGGTTCCCGTTAACTGCCTTTCTAGAAAGCGATTCTGTTCTGTGATGGAGGCGGCAGAATGAAACATGAAATTACACCACACGAGATCGCAAAGGACAGGAAAGACTGCATGTCCTGATGTGACGCAGATGACATGGACGGGGAGAGGTCTCCATTACCATGACAGCGGGGCTGGCCCCGGGAGGACCTCGCTGGGTGGCTGCAAAGCCCTGCAGACCTAAGTTCCGTCCTGCCAAGGGCTGGAGGCCGGTGACCCTTCCGACCCCCATCCCCGTGTCCCTGATGTGGGAAGGGGAAGGGCCCACCCCAGAACCAGAAGCCCCAGGCCTCCATCTCAGGCTCACTGGAGCATTCTGCAGGCTACGGGGGACATGGCGTTTGCTTCTACCTGGTTTTCCACTCAAATTCTGCCAAGAGGTGGGTGGGGCCTATGAGCAGGTGGGTGGGGCCTATGAGCAGCCTGGCCGCCTTTCTAAAAGGCACAACTTGTAATTCCACCCTTGAAAAGTGACATGTGCCGGGCGTGAGCTCACTCGCAGCGCTTTCTAGTGTTCAGAGAAGACTGGGGCCACCCGCATGCCTGTCAGAGTTGAGATCACAACAGAAACGCTGCTAGGACTCGGCCTGGCTCACACGTCTGCTTTTTGCTTTTGCCTTTGAAACCAGCCATGACGGGGAGAGGTCGGTCAGGAGGCAGGTGAGGGGCCTGAACCATGACTGCCTGAAAATAAGCCTCTCTTGTCTGCACCAAAGCCCTAGAGCAGGTAACCAAATTCTCTCCCAAATTCCCTGGAAACCAGTTTCCCTTTCCCTGTCCCAGTCGCACCTCCCTCAGGACTGGAGGGTGAACCCGCCTGGGTCAGCATCTGAACCACAGAAAGATACGGGATGAACGCAGTGTCTCTGCGGACTCACGGCCAACGTTTTCTAGGATTCTGCTAAGGTTGGTTTGATTTGAACTGGACTGGACCCACGTGACCCAGACTCTGAGTGTCCACCCAGAGCCATGTGTCGGAGAGCAGGTGTCCGATGAGGCCTGTCCTCAGTCCTCACTGCAGCCTTCCAGCTTCCTGATGAGCTGCTGGTAGGTGTCTCTTTCCACCTGCCATGAATGATACATTCTCACGTACGCCTTTCCGTTCGTTACAATTTCCTTTTCTAATGCAGGATCACTGACCAGTCTCTTTGCCAGATGAACAAACTCCTGCAAAAAAAGGAAGGAGACATAGACGTAAATAACTGAAAAAGGGAGATTTTGCAAATGCGCCCATGAGCCTGTGTCTGCATCAGCGGCTGATCTTGTCTTTGCCTCCTGGGCCTGGAGAAGGTGACTTTTCGGAAGGATGGGAGTTAATGCAAACATTCAGACTGAGTGGGAAATAATACATATGCACACACACACAGGTGCACACACATGTACACACACAGGTGCACACACACAGGTGCACACACACGTACACACACAGGTGCACACACACA